TCAAACGACGAAGATTTACAAACATTAGAATCCAAATAGGAAAACAGCAGAAACAATGATTACCATGATAGGTATGATTCTGTTACACAGGAAATGAAGGAAAAGTTATGTTAGAACCTAGTATCCCAGATACATCTGAATGGAGTCAATAAAATTAAAATTCATCATTCCATTCCAGAATTATTCTCCTTAGTAGCTAAAGGTAAATTTTCATTTCCCTCAATGTTAACCTGTATAGGCTTTCAACAGTGGTGTGCTGATGTTTAATAATCCCTTCTTCAAGGGAAAAGACAGCCCTGATTTTTAGCATTTGCCAATTCCATGGTGGAAGTACTTTCACTATGATTGATATCGAGTTAACATTTTTAACAATGTGTTTGCAAAACTCCTGAAAACTTAACAGTTGGCTCTTGTGAGCCTGTAAAAGCTGTTTTTATTTCTACAAGTGTATATGATATACTTGATTGGATTTCATAAAAAGAAAATAGAGAATGAGGTGTTCTTTTTGTTAATGGATGTGTTTTTAAATTTGTCAACACAGGCAAAAACCCCCACAAAAAAATAAAAACAAAAACCAATGAATTCTTTAAGAGTTTAATTAACGGAAATTTTGAATGGATTTGGGAAGGTGCACCAATCACCTGAAGAAACCTGTATGTAACTTTTGTTCTACAATGTCTCCTGACTCTAAAGAGAATTTGCTCTAAATAAACACCTAAATGCTTTTCAAGTCACATGTTCTATAATAACTGGTGGGAAAGAATCAATCATCATAGAAAATTGGAAATGAGTTACCTCTTTAAACAAATCTATTCCATTTGATTTACATAAAATTTTCTGTCTTTTGTTTTTTTACTTTTTTCTTTTTGCCAGGTTTCATTATAGCAAGTAGATAAAATGCTTCAACTAGATTCAGTAATGGACAGCAGAATCTCCAAAGACAAAACAGTAGGTGGTTTTCTTTCTTTCTTTTTCTTCAGTGAGCCACTTTTGAACTATCCTCTCAAAGTTTTGAATTTCTGCCAAACTTCTGGTTAGGGAAACTGGCAGTGCAGAAGGCAGTGATGACTATTAACTCGGTCAGTGCCATTCTTCATTTGGCTGGCCTGGATCTGCATTCTGGCATGATCTTGCTTCTACTGTGGTTCTCCATTCAAAGCATTGAAATGGAGCTGCCAAGTACATCGTCTTGATATTCTTCCTAAAATAGTTTTAGCTTGATTGTTCTGGCCTACCTATTTTGATAATGATTCTATTTGTGGACACTTGCTGTAATTTTAAGACATAATCTTAAGACACTTAAATGGCAAGAAAGGAGTTGCTATTGTTTATACTAGAGATTTCCTTTCAATAGCGGAAATTCTATATGATTGGTAACCATGTATCAGTGGGACATTGATACATGTATGTTGAGAATAGCTTTCCATATTTGAGGTGTTGATATAAAGTTTTACCTTTTTCTTTGAAAACACTTCACATTACTAACTTTATATATGGGATAAACTTTTGCAAAAATTTAGGTTTAAGACAAGAGACTGGTTTATGGTTGAAGGTTGATGTATTTGGGCCAGTAAATTATACTATATTCTAGAACGCAGCCGTGAAGAATTGTCTTTTACAATCTGACTTAATAAGGGAATTCATGCAGGGAAAATTTGAAATTAGAAAGAGCATCAGCTAAATGTTTATAATCAAGAAACTGTAAAAGGAAATTACATTTGAATTAATACAAGATAAAAATATGCAAAAGAAAATGTAACACTTCAATGGCTTATCATAGAGCAGAGTTAAAATATATGCCTGAAAAGAAATGGATTCAATAAAAATTATTTTCCATAATTAATAAAAAGTAATAATACAGTGTAATAATTTTTAAAATTGCTAATGAGTCTGTGTAATTTGAGCTCTTTCAAATTTACTCAGTAGAGTGGCTGCATTGTAAAACGATGTGGAGAGGGATGCTTGGGTGGCTCAGTGGGTTAAAGCCTCTGCCTTCAGGTCAGGTCATGATCCCAGGGTCCTGGGATCGATCCCTGGCTCTCTGCTCAGCAGGGAGCCTGCTTCTTCCTCTCACTCTGCCTGCCTTTCTGCCTACTTGTGATCTCTGTCTGTCAAATAAATAAATAAAATCTAAAAAAACAAAACAAAACTATGTGGAGAAAGCTAAAATAGTATTATTTCCTCCATTCCTTCTTAGTGTTGATTACCTTATAAAAAATGTAAAAGAAACAGAAACTCTGTGATAATAGATTACCAAAATAGGTCAAATAGCAAAAAGGTGTAAGATAATTGCTTTGACAGAATTTTGTATCCCTTAATGATGCAAAATATGACTTGGGGGTAGTAGCATCTGAAATAAAATAATAAACTGCTGTTATACTAAAGTGATTTTGCTTTCAAGATGCAAAGTTTTGTTTTATCTTTTTTAGAGAGAAAAATGATGTGTTTGAACTGTTCAAGAGTGCCTTGTCATGGGTCCATAAAGAAAAAAATCTCATATATATAAGAATAATTTAAAACCCAGTGGATTCGGTTTATGTCAAAAATCAACATTCTTGGGTGCTTGGGTGGCTCAATTAAATGTCCAACTCTTGATCTCCACCCAGATCATGATCTCAGGGTCCTGAGATCCAGGCAGCAGGCTCTGTGCTGAGCATGGAGACTGCTTAAGTTTCTTTCTCTTCCTCTCCCTCAGCTCTCCCACCCCTCCTGTCCCTACACTCTCAAAAAAACAAAAACAGACAAAAACCCCCCCACAAAACCTCACAACATTCTTATGAACTGCCATACTAATAATATATATGTGTGTGACTATATATGTGTGTGTAAAACACCTCTAGATGTTTGTTAGCTAAAATGTACCTATACTATTTTAGAGATTGGTTATAGAAAGGAATACCTTGGAAGCTGATTAATATTTATTATTTTTATAACAAAATATAACACAAAACATACTTATTCATTTGTTGTGATAGTTTTCACAACAAATTTTTGCCTAAAGACTGCTGAAGTAAATAGTGAATTTTAATATAAAATTTTGCAAGTTACAAATAATTATTTAAAATATTATCAATTTAAGTTGGTTATATGAATTATATTTAAATTTTATAGCAATGTAGTGTAACAGAAATTTTCCTTGAAATTTTTTGGGGAAAATCTAACTTTCTGGAGAGAAATGAATTGTTCTAAGTGTGGAGTTATGTTCAGAAACTTCAGGAGAAGAAGTGTTCATCTAGGAGATAAGACTTCATGTTCATTTGGGAAATTGTTTAACAGTATGGTTAAGGATAATCTTCAATGTGAATGGTAGATTATTTTACTTTTTAAAGGGAAAGCATGCAATTTTGGCTTAAATTAGGCTCCACATGTCTTAACTTTTATGACAATATTTAGATACAGTAAACCTTAGTATTGGAATGGTTCTGAATAATGAGACATCCATTTTATAACTATATTTTCCATTACTAATCTTACTTGTAATTGCTAAATGCATTCATGATGTCTAGGGAGTGAGAGGAAAGGAGAGGAGAAATGGATAGCTGTGTTAGGTTATCCAAGTAATATTGAAGGAATTCTATTTGAAATAGTGGCAGTATAGAAAAATATTGGAAAAAGAAAGTGTGCAGTCACTGCTTTACATACTTTTCACTGAATGGCATACTTAAGCATTTAAAACTTGGCCATTGGAGGAGAGTATTTGTGTACTTCAAGCTGGATTCCGAGAAAGGAGGCTAAGAATTCAGCAAGAATGGCGGTCTGTCAGGAAGGCACAGGTTATTTGCCTCTTCACCCCAAAAGGGATCACAGCCAAGCAAGGACAAGGATTGAAGTGGTAGAGATTGGGGCACCTGAGCAGGCGGTAGAAGGGGAGGAGTTTCAAATGCTGACACTCCGGTTTGGAGAACTTGAAGACACTCAGCTGTCATAACACTGAGGAGTGCTGTGCTAGTGACTGGACTGAGGCGTGTGTGTGTGTTTAGGAGACCAGCAATTAATGCTAAAGCATATGTTAGGAGCTGCTAAGTGTATCTGGTATCTGATAGTACCCGCCAAACTGGCTGATTGCAGTTAATGATTGCTCAGAAAGGCCGGGAAATTAACTCCACATAGGAAAAAGGAAATGGTGGACCTGCCTCCAAGAGTCCCATATTCTGAGTGAGAGGTCCCTGAAGTTCCAGGAGGCTCTTTGCACTACCGGAGAGGAATCTGGTTCCCGTTCAGCCCCCACAGACGAGGTGCCCATTCCTCCGCGGGGACAACCCACCGCTGGGGCAAGCTGGGTTCTTTCTTGCAGGTGACAGCTCGCCTCGCATTGGTCCGTGTCTTTCATCTCTTGTTATGGCAACATTCCAAAATGAATGCTGAAAGATCTGCCTCTTACGATTTCCTGACAGAACTTATAAAATTGCAATATTTTATTAAAAACAGAATCGGGGCACGTTGCTTTCACATTTGACGTTCAACCTCTACACATTTTGGTGATTCCCAAGATCACCTTACCAATCAAGACTTAAAGAAAAAAAACCTACCACAAATGTCCGACTACGTAAACCCAAGGATTTGTAGGAGGCATCTATGTCAGGATTTCTCCCAGGTGGAGGGCGCAAGAGGCAGGAAGGGTGACTGGAGTTGCCTCATCTAAGGGGTGTCAGGGTGAAGGGTGGTGGGCGTCTTTCCCTTCTCTCCCTTCCCCCTTGGAGACACAGATGCGAGTGGAGGACGGCGGTGGAATTGTCCGAGCCCCAAGGGGCAGGCGGGAAGAGACCTAGCGGGTGAACCAGCAAAGTGGAAGACCCCTCCGCGAGGGGATTCGCCCGCGGAGGCCCGGCTAGCGCGGGTCCGCCACGATCCCAGGGTGCACCGCGCCCCGCCCCCTCCCCTCTCCGCGTCCCGCCTCCCCTCGGCCCAGGCCCCCTCCCTGCTGGCTCTGGGAGGCGGGGACGCGGCGTCGGCGGCGGCTTCTCCAGTCGCGTCTTTCTCACTCACTGGGGAGCCCGGCGGTGGCGGCAGCTTCGGAGGCAGAGCGGCGGAGCTGCGAGCCCGTCGGCCAGCCAGTGGGAGGTCGAACAGACTAAGGGCATAGCCGACAGACAGACGGAGAGCCGCCAGACGGCCCGAGTCGCCTCAAGTTCCGCCATGAGCTGGGGCACAGAGCTGTGGGTGAGTCCGGGTGAGGGGCGCCCCGCGCGGACTCCGGCCCGCGAGGGGCGCGGGCTGGGCAGGCGCCGCTGACCGTCGGCGCCCAGAGCCCTTTGGGCCATCCCCGCCCCTGGCGCTAGCGGAGGGCGGGGGTACCACTCTTCTTTGTGTGCAGACCCCTCTTCCCTCTCGGCCGGGGTTGAGTGGCTGCTGGTCTGCGCTCCCGCCTCTGTCGCTGCGGTAGGGCTGAGGGCAGCGCCTTGGACGGCGGGTGGAGCGGCCCGCGGGCTCCCGCGTCCGCCGCCACCCTCTCCCTTTCCCTGTCTCTCCTCGGTCTTCACTTTCCGGACGCCTGGCTCGTTGCCGGGCGGCGCTCCTCTCCCTTTGTATCTCTCCGCCCGGAGGCGGGGAGGGGGTCCATTGTCCCGAAGTAGCGCCGTTCCCGGGTGGGGAGGGGCCCTGCCGCGGTCCCCAGCTCCGGCAAGGGTCCCCGGGGCGAGGGCGTCGCCGGGCCAGGACCGCGCTGGGAGCCTCGAGGCCCCGCCCACCGCCCTCGCCCCAGGTAGGGGGAGCCGGGCGGCTTTGTTTCGAGCCCGGCCTCCGGCCAGCCAGGCCCGGCCCACAAACCCATTTTCCTCTCGCTGTCTGTGTGCCCCGAACCCGCGCGTGGCTTTGGGGACTCCGGCTGGGCTATCCCCGGCTGCTACCTTGGGCTGGGGGTGGGGTGGAGGTTTGCTTTTGGAATCTAAATTAAACTGATGGGTCGACGGGGAAGCCAATTTTGCCAAAAGGAGCGTAGGGCTTCCCGATTGCTTTACTTCCCCTTCCGCTGTTCTTTATTTTCACTCGTTCTCCCCGTTTTCTTTCTTTTCTCCTCGTCTTTCTTGGGCGCTGAAGGTTTCAGACAATGCCCAGTGTCTGGTAAAGGTGCGGGTGGACGGTAATAGGTCGGAGAATGCGCTCGCGATGCAGCTTCGAAAGGGTGGAGGTGTGGAGGGCAGTGATTTCTCAGGTGCAGCCGAGGGACCTGGGGCATGGGGGCGCTGTCCCGAGAACTGCTTGGTTTCAGCCACTCCCCTTTTTATCCCACCTGTGCACACTTTCCGTGCCTTTTGTTAACGAGGGTCTGGTGAAACCCAGAGAAAGGGGAGAAAGAACTTCGTGGTCTCGACAGGAGCATGTAGGATGCGAATGAAGGTAGATTGGTTCATTGAAGGGCAAATGTTTTCTTCGGTTATTTTTCCCCTCTTACTCACACTGTGGGAATTTTAGAACTGAAAGAGACTTGGAGTTCATCTAGTAGAACACTTAACCAGCCCAGGAATCTCCTGCAACGTTCACGACAAGTGTTTGCCCCGTCTGTAAACACACTACTCAAGAGAAAATAACTCAGACACTCGTTTCTTAGATAGCATTAATTGTTCTTACATTAGAGGATTATATAGTAAATGAATTATGTAAAATTTAACCCTTTAGAGTCTCAGGCATTATTGGTCTTCTCTTTGATTTTGTACATTTTGTAATTGATTATAGTGCGTCATCAATTAAAGTAGATTTTTCATTTTTATAATTAGAAAATATTTTTATTTTTACATACTTTTAAATGATACGTTTCAGAGGAAGCAAAAATGTACTCAGAATATTTCTTTTAAAGTACACGTAGGAAGAGTAGAGTAATATTTAGATTTAACTTTTAGAGTTAAGAAGCACTTTCTATCATACTACAGAAAAACAGTTTTAAGGAGAAACAGTATTTTACTGAAGATTAAAATGCGATTTTTAAAAGTTTTTTTAAGTTATAATTTAAGAATATACATTCAGAAGTGATTAGCAGTCCCCCACCATCTCCCGTAATTTGGTTACTTTCAGCATTTGAATAGTTTTTTAGCAATTTGGAAAGGTAAACTGTAGAAGAGATGGGAATTTCTGATAACTAAAAATTGTTTTGTATCCTTTGGAAATTATGAAAAAAGATTTTAAATTAAGTTTCCTCTTAAAATTTAGTGCACCATGTTTTAAAGTTTTTAGTGGTTTTTGGATTTGAGGGAAATATTTGTTAGAAACTAAATGATAGAGGATCAACTAGTATCATCTGATGCTTAAACCTTAAATAAATAGAAGTTGGTGTAAAGGGCTATTGTTAGGACCAGAAGAGACCTTAGAAAATTTTGACTGGACTTCCTGTTTTTACTGTTCTGGTTTGAATAAGGATATTGTGCTTCCAGTGGATTGTAACAAGCACCTATACTGTGCTCTTGTCATTGAGGAATTTGAGGTTGGGAGAGTTCTCTTGAAATTCTGAATTTAGAAACCAGTTCTAATTATTTCATGTGTAGGATCACGTTACTATCCCATAGGTTTAATTATTGGGAACATGTTGTTACAAAAATACGATGAATGCAGTTATGCACTGAAACTTAAGTTTTTTTTATATTCTTTGGAGTTTCATTGATATTTTAATGCTTCTTAAGTCTTATGTTAAATTTGAGAATAAAGTAATAAAATAGAGAACCACTTTATACTGACTCTGGGGGAGAACTAATAGTGATAGACTAATGGGTTATGTCAGACTTTGAGGGGATACGAATTAACTGGTACTAGATTTATGCTCTGGTTTAAGGTACTTCAGGTGTTCCAAATGAGCGTTTAAACATTGAATATATGCTAGAGACTTCTGGGTTCTGTGTCCTGGGTGATATCAAACAAAGAGATGACAGTGTCTTTGTTTCTTCAGGCTGCAATGTAATTAATTGTAAGATAGCATCTTAAGTGTTGTTTATTGTGTTGATTTTTTTTAATTATCACAGGAAGAATGGTTGGATCAAAAAGAGGCCAAATATGAATCAGTGATTTCACAAATCAGATTTTATAATTATTAGCCCCTTTTACAAGGGAGAAAATTAGAGTTGGAGAAGTTCTGTGTTCAGTCAATAAGTTTTATTTATTAGGAGATACTTTTATGATGGTTTGAGAAGACAAATTTTGCCAGAAAAAAAACCCGTGTATGGATTGTGAGTGTGTATATAGATATGAAAAAAATACGGCTGAGCACCTTAAATGCATTTCATGATTTATTCAGAAATTTGCTCCCCAAGGGAAGTGAGGTGACTCTTCTGGAAGCTAGAAGGTAGCTTCCAATATCTCACATAATTTGTTGGGTCTTTTTTTTTTTTTTTTTTTTTAAGATTTTATTTATTTATTTGGCAGAGAAGGACACAGCGAGAGAGGGAACAGAAGCAGGGGGAGTGGGAGAAGCAGGCTTCCCTCAGAGCAGGGAGCCAGATGCTGGGCTTGATCCCAGGACCCTGGGATCATGACCTGAGTTGAAGGCTAAGGCTTAATGACTGAGCCACCCAGGCGCCTCATTTTGTTGGGTCTTGTAAACCTTTCTTATGCCTTAGTTTCCTGATCTGTGTGCTTTTTGGCCCTTAGTTTTAAGAGTATGTAATTTAAAAGCCATTGTTATTTTCGTTAAATTATTAGTTAAATGCATTTGACAAAACTTATGCTCCCTTTTTAAAAAAGATTTTATTTATTTACTTGAAAGAGTATAAGCGAGAAAAAGAGTATAAACAGGGAGAGGGGTAGAGAGACAAGCAGACTCCCTGCTGAGCAGGAAGCCTTACTCAGTGTTTGATCCTGGGCCTATAGTCTTATGATTTGAGCTGAAGGCAGATGCTCCCACTTATGCTCTTTTGGATGATAGATTCATTGGATACCCCCAGTCTTAACCCTTAATGCTTCTTTATCTTTGTTCTTATAGCATTTATTTAATATCTGTGCTGGGGGCGCCTGGGTGGCTCAGTGGGTTAAAGCCTCTGCCTTTGCCTTGGGTCATGATCTCAGGGTCCTGGTATCGAGCCCCATATTGGGGGCTCTCTGCTCAGCAGGGAGTCTGCTTCCTCCTCTCTCAGACTGCCTCTCTGCCTACTTGTGATCTCTGTCAAATAAATAAATAAAATCTAAGAAAAAAAAAATCTGTGCTGTAAGTGTACCAGACTTAAGAGTCTTGGAGTATAGAACTGGATTAATCTCTTTGTTTTCACTGACTAAAACAATGCCTGCAGGTGATCATGCATGTTTTGCCCAATTGAATTAATAGTTCATTACTTAGGATATTGATTACTGATTAAAAAGTGCATCCTGGAGGAAGTCTTAATGGTTCTGAAGACCTTTGTAGGTGATGATAGATTAAGTGGTGTAGATAACAGTTCGAGAATGTCCAAATAATTTGAAACCAAGATTATGAAGTTAAGGTTTACTGTTTGGTTCAAAAACTTTTACAGCTGGGGAAAAATTGACCTAAAGGGAGTTCTTTGACTTTACCTGACTTACAGCTCTGTGATGTGACTACAAAAATAGCTGATGAAATGTTAGACCACATTAATAGATTTGTCTAGAAAACAGCAGTGTAGTTCCATTTCAGTCCATTGTGGTTAGACTATTTCTGTTATTGACTTGAGCATTACTTCACGTTTTTTAAAAGATCTGTGCACCCGTGTGGAGGAGTTTGACAATGAAAACTCCTTTTTAATTAATGTTAATGGTATTGCTTTTTTCAAAGGCCATGAAATTGCTGTAAGAATTTAAATTAAACAATAAAGTAACTATTGAGCGTCTGTTATGGGGAAGCACTGTGAATGTATGGTGAAATTTATGAAGGTTTATAATATCAGTCCTTCTGTGAGGAAACAGAGTCATTTTAAGGTGATACTCTTTCCTAACTCCAAAATACTCCTCTGTGTTGACATCACTGTCCAGAATGTCTTCTGTGGATCAGTTCCTCTGAACCCCCCCCCTTTTTCCAGAGTACACATTCTGGATAATATCTTTCTTATGGGACTACCACTTTATGTTATAGTTATTTCTTGTACATTCAAACCTTTGGAAAATAGTCATGATAAAAGTATGTTATATTCCATTTTGTTGATAGAAATTGTCGTGTTCAACATTGTATTACAGCCCTTGTTCTTAGTTAAGGAGGCTGAGAATTAATCAAGACCACCTGTTTATGCCACCAT